TACAGGTCTTTGGCTAAGCCCTCCCTGTCACCTAGGAACCATAGAGTTGGGGGTCAGGATCTTGGTCAGGATCTAGGGGGTCCTGCCTGGTACTGGACTCCGGAGGGGATGGGGTACAGACACACCCACTCTGAAACTGTTTTTGGGGAAGTTCGGCAGCTTCCCCTTCCTGAAGCCTGTAGGCTAGGGTGTCACAGCCCACTGCAGGGGTCTCTGTTCCTCACCCTGCTAGGGACTGCTGCTTTATAGGAACTTAGGACAAGATGGACCTGTCTGTAGTCTGTGGAGGAAAGCCTGTAGTCAGTGTGAGCCAGCAGCTGCACTTCTTTTTATTTTTATTTTATTTTATTTTTTTTATTTTTTATTTTTGGTACTGGGGATTGAACTCAGGGGCACTCAACCACTGAGCCACATCCCCAGGCCTATCTTGTATTTTATTAGAGACAGGGTCTCATTGAGTTGCTTAGTGCCTCGCCATTGCTGAGGCTGGCTTTGAACTTGTGATTCTCCAGTCTCAGCCTCCAAGCCACTGTGATTACAGGCGTGTGCCACCACACCAGGCCAGAAGCTGTACTTCTTTGCTCCAACTAGAGTACCACTTTCTGCTCTGTGTCCTTCCACTGTCCTTTTGGAATAGTCCAGGAGGCGCTGGGCCCAGAAGGCAGAGGGACAAGTCATGCTTCCTCTGGTGCTCATGAGGCCCTGGCTAGGCAACCACCCTCTGCCCCCAAAATGATCTCTCCCAAAAGGACTTCTGGATTCCTGAGTGTGAAATAACCAGTATACCTTTGCTGTCCCTCACTGGATGACTATGGATGGGATTCACTTGATTCAGCTGCAAAGTAAAGGGTTTCTCTAGCTCTGACCCTTTATTTTCTCTCTGATAATTCTCTAATACCTACCTTCCTACCCCTACATGTGCCCTTTCCTCTTTCTGGAATGTTCTTCCTCAGTGTTCTTCCTCAAGCACTTCTCTCCTTTACCAAGAAAGCTTCCTGAACTTCTAGGAACCATAAGTTTTTCTCCCTTCTTTGTGGGAGCTCTTTCCCACCCCAGGGCCTTTATATTTGATGTTGCCTCTGCCTATCACTCTTTTCTGCTTGTCACAGGACTTGTCAGTGACTCTTGTGTCACCCTGTAGGCTTCCTCTAAAACTGGAGTTCCTTTCCCTGTTTACTTGTTTGGTATGTGCTCCTGAGGGCAGGGTCCACCTCCTTCCCTTGTCCTGGATTCTCAGCACACTGGCACCAATAAGTTCCCAGTGCTTGAGCAAATGACCCTTCCCTCTTGATCCTCCTGTGCTCCAACATCCATACCCATGTTCAGGTGGAGGTGAATTGTTATAATAGTAATTTCCCCCACCCCTCCTAAAAAAAAGGCCCAGTTTATAGTCAGGAAGTGAATGATGGCAGGCATGGGGTGGGGCAGTGATTAATGGGATAGGGGACCAAGCGGGAAGAGCAAGGAGACAGAGACTATAAGGCAAGATCAATAGTTGAAGTGTCATTGTGTTGCAAGGGGAGGAAGATGAGGTGGATACTTGGAGGGGGACAGCCTTTATAAGGGCTTTATTGAAATTACTATTATAACAATTCACCTCATATTGAGGGTTTTCTAATACCATACATGTTCTGAACATTTTACTTATGTTTCCTCCCTTAGTCCTGACCTCAGCCTGTGTATTGGTTGGATATAATTGCTAGACCTATTTTATTGTCAAGAAAACTGAGGCACAGGAAGTTTCTGGTATTTGTCCGAAGTAATATGTAGCCAGCAAGTTTTTTTTTTTTTTCCTTCTTGTTTTTGGTTTATTTTGTTTCCTGTGGATTGAACCCAAGGGAGCTTTATCACTGAGCTACATCCCAGTCCTTTTTGCTTTTTATTTTTTAGTGGTGCTGAAGATTGAACCCAGGGCCTTGTGATGCAAGGCAAGCACTCTACTAACTGAGCTACATCCTCAGATCCATCCCAACCCTTTTTTTTTTTTTTTTTGAGACAGGGTCAAATTTGCCACCCTCCTGCCTCAGCCTGCTGAGTTGCTGGGATTACAGGCATGAGCCACTGTGCCCATCTGGTGCAGTTAGAAAGTTTGCAGACTATTTCCCAGAGCCCCTGTTGCTAACTGCCACTCTACTGCCTCAATCTCCTGCAGAATCCAAACCAGTGTGCATGAGCTTTATTCTCAGGACACTGGGGAGCCAGAGGAGGTTTGTAAGCAAGGAATTAATTGTGTTTCCTTTCAGCAGTATCCTCTTGGCTCCCATGTGGAAAATGGATTTAGAGGGGAAACAGGAGAACCAGGGAAGAGACAGGGAGGCCTAGAATGGTACACAGTGCAGGGACAGATTTGAAGGGGAATTGAGGAGGAGAAGAGGCTCACAACATGTTGGGGTGGGGGAGAGTGATCATGGCTTTGGCTGCTTCTGGGAGGCTCCAGAAGCAGGGGCCAATGGAGGTGAGATGTACCCAGTTCTAGGCAGGGGGTGTCAGTGGCGGTGAGATGTACCCAGTTCTAGGCAGGGGTTTGAGAAGCCCAAGGTGTCTGATAGAGGCATCAGGGCAGTAGTAGATATAGAGCTGGCAATCAGGGGCAAAGTCAGATTTGAGATGACCACATGGGTTCTTAGCCCCTGGAGTGAAAGGTGTATGACTGGAGTAGAGAGCAGAGGCCTGCCATAGCCCTGGGTACCCCCAAGGAGATGGAGAATGAGCAGCTAGAGGTTTGGAAACAAGGGTTTGTGGACTCCCTAGGAAGAGCACAGGACTGGAAAGGAGTGATTGACCCAAGAACCATGATATTGGCTTGGGCCTGGAAAAGGCCATGCCTCCTAGTGGCTCCATTCTGCCCTGCATCCATAGGTTGGGGTCTGTGTCCTGCCCACCTCCCTCCAGCCCAGCCTCCAAGGGGCTGACAGGTTCTTTTGGTTGCCTGGCAACTGAAAGAGCTGTTGGCTGTTGCTAGGAGCAGGCTGGGGAGGCCAGAGGAGCGAAGCTCTCCAGCACAGGGCGGGGTAGTGGGGGAAGGGGCCTGTCTTGGAGTCGGGTTTGTAGTCTGTGCTTAGACAGACTGTGTTCTTGGCTCTATGCACCTATATTTATAAAGTGTTCTGTGGATTTGGGGTATGTTGGAGGTGGGCTTCATTGTGTTTCATTCTGCTTGTTGTATGCCCATAGCAGGGACTGCTTCAGTTTTGCTTTTAGGGCAGGAGGAACCCTGGGGGAACCATTGGAGGATTACAGGCCAAAGATTCCTCAACAAGAGCTGGGCGGGACACAGTGGCACAGGCCTGTAATCACAGCTGCTGGGGAGGATGAGATGGGAGGATCTGAGTTCAAAGCCAGCCTTAGCAATGGTGAAGTGCTAAGCAACTCAGTGAGACCCTGTCTCTAAATAAAATATAAAACAGGGCTGGGGATGTGGCTCAGTGTTCGGGTGCCCCTGAGTTCAATCCCCAGTACAAAAACAAACAATAAAAAAACTCAACAAGGAGACATTCAGATAGGAGTATGCAGACACTCCAGAGAGCATAGACAGCTTGAGTACTGAGAACTGGAATAAGGTGTATGTCAAGGTAGTAAGGAGGAAGCTGTGTTAAACAGGGGTCTGTGGGTGACCCAAGCATTGCTGGCCAGGCCTTGCTTTGGGGACCTTCTCTGTCTTTGGTCTGGGACCTCCAAGGCTCATGGCACCAAGATCACACAGGATTCCCTCATGGGTAATCCTTGGCAGACCCTTCAAATGTCCAATCAAGTTAGGGTTTGTGGGTTCCTCGGGAAGAGCAGATCAGAGAGATTTGAAATGGTTCAGCTAGAAACACTGCTGCCTCCGCTCCACCTTTGCCCAGCCATAGAGTTGCAGCCACTGTCCAATGGAGACAGGCTACTGAAAGATGGGATGTGGGATTGAGTCCACACACCTTCAGAGGTGGATAAGCCATGGAAGGGACAAGTCATAATATCAACGTGGTTTTTGTTTCTAGAAATACAATGAGAATTTCTCTTCCCCCTCCTTTTCCTGCTTTAGTCCTTTTTACCTGGTCCTAGGAATCCAGGATGGCTGCTAGCAGGAGAATGCCTCCAACAGATCAGGGAAGGATGGATAAGCCATGGATGACTAGAGAATCTACCCATCTGAGGGGGACAGGCTAGGCAAAGTTGTAGAGGAGGCAACTGATTTTGGTTTTGTTTTTCATATTACTGGGGTTCGAACCCAGGGGTGCTCTATCCTTGAGCTAAATCCCCAGTCCTTTTCAATTTTTATTTTGAGTCAGGGTTTCACTAAGTTGCCGAGTCTGGCCTCGAAATTGCAATCCTTCTGCCTCAGCCTCCAGAGTAGCTGGTATTACAGGCGTCCGCCACCACCACGTCTGACACCACGTCCAACACTGGTTTTATTTTTGACTTGCCGCAACTCAACAGAGAAGAGGGCAGAGCCCTTGCCTAGAATGTGCACAGCTCTGGGTTCGATGCCAAGTTCCGCAAAAAGAAAAGAAAACCACGGTCCAGAACCATTCGCCTGGCTCACTGGATCCCAAAACAAGTTTACTGGGCTCATTAACTTTAACAAGTGTTTTAGACACGCCTCCTGCACCCTATTCGCCCAGCTCTCAAAAGCTTAGAAGGCTGATTTCTTTTCAGCCCGCGGGCATCAAGTCTCCACCCACGGGCTATGAGATCCACCCTCCTAGCCTCCTCCCGGCTGCCCCTAAAGCGGGGCTTCAGGCCCTCAGCACCCAATCCGAAGTCGGCCCCGCTTGCTGCCAGCCCAGAGCCAGAGCCCAACGTTGACTCCACTGCTATTGCCTTCCGTCCACTCCGCGTGGCCCCGCCTCCAGCCCGCGCCCGAGCCTGGGCTGAGCTTAACTTCGCTCCTTGCTCCGCCCTCGAGCCAATAGTCAGCCCTTATTTTCCCTTGGCTCCGCCTCCAGACCCGCCCCGGCCCAGTCCCGGGCTTGCCTCCCTCGGGCCCCACCCCTGGCCCGCCCCGCCGACGGTGCGCGGCAGCCGGGAAGGCGCCTCCCGCAGTCGCTCGGAACTGCGGACCGGAGAGAGCTGTCCGCAGAGGGCCGGCGGCGGGAGCGGAGTGGGTCGGGCGGGGCCAAGCCGGGCCGTGGGCCGTGTGGGGGCCGGGCCAGGCCGGCGGACGGCAGGATGGGCTGCACCGTGAGCGCCGAGGACAAGGCAGCGGCCGAGCGCTCTAAGATGATCGATAAGAACCTGCGAGAGGATGGCGAGAAGGCGGCACGGGAGGTGAAGTTGCTGCTGTTAGGTGAGGCCGCGTCTGGATCTGCCCTCACCCCTTTGCCAATTCCCAGCCGGAATCCCCAGACAAGGGCTTCAAACTCCCTGGCAGGCTCTGGACCCCATAGCCGGGTTTGAATCTCCCCGGGATAAGCCTGGCCACGACCCCCAAATAAGAGTGAGGAAACTCTGGGTTAGTCTAGATCTCTAATTCTAGGCCACACTAGATCAGATCCTCAACTTATACCATACCCCAAACTCCCAAGTGCAGGCAAAGGTGCTTTAACATCAGCTGTCCGGTCCTTGCTTTACCATTCACCCTTGATAACTAATCTCACAGAGCCTCAGAGTCTCCATGCCTTGTCATTCCATTCTTTCCTAGACTTTATCTAAACCCTCAAAACCCTACTCGGTCCCCACCCCCAGGCTTCACCTGTTCCCCCTATTCCTATTGGACATGAGCATCCCTTGGGGTCCCTGCCAGGCCCCTACTCCCTCCTTTACCTTCTGTGCCCTGTACTTACCCTGGAATCTATATTCTCCACTTGTGCATTCTAACCCTAAGGGATCTCTCAAGTGGGAAACTGTTCTTGAACCCTCTCCAGCTGGACCTTCTTCAGAGCCCCTGCTTCTGGCCACCAGATCCCTCTCTGCAGGCATCACTTCTCAAACTCTCTGCTGCTCCTCTGTAAGTTCTCTCCCACACTCTGGCCTTCCCAGAGTCCACCACCTCTCCTGCACCAGGTGGGCTGTGCTGGGAGAAGAACCAGGGTCTGGAGAGAGCCTAGGCTGGTTAGGTAGAATTCCAAGGGCCTGGACTGAGATTCCACTGGTAATGTTGGGGAGGGGACCAGACCTCAAGTCTCCCTGAAAGGTTCTTCACCAAGAGAACATCTTTCCCAGTTTTAAAGCCCTGTCTGGGCCAGTAGTGGGGAGTCTGGGAAGTAGGAGGGAGTGTGGAGGAGTTAGGGTTGTAGCTGCTTCCAAGACCAGGGAAGATGGTGGTTGCTAGAGGGATGGGGGGAAGTGGAAGTGGTGAGACAGCCGACATATTGCTGCCCCTGCGGCCGGGCGGAGGAGATCTGCTGACGGGTGCTGCTGGGCTTCCCGTACCTTTCTGGACTTGAAAGGGTGGGATATGGCTTTCAAGAGTGGGTGGGCCTGTTGGATTTCAGAGCCATGTGAGGGGTGTGATGGAGGAGCTGGATGAGGAGTTGGGGGGTGAGCTGGGGGTGGGCCAGTGTGCCTGGAAGCATTCCAGCTGGTCTTTTGCAAAGACAGTGAGCCTGCCTTTCCTCATAGCCCAGTCTCACACTGGGAGCAGTAGTTCCCTATAGAAGCCTGAATTGGTGGTGGTAGGGATGCGGGCAGGGAGGGCTCGGGCAGCAGCGCAGGAGCGTTGTAGGCAGGATAGTATGTGTGTGGGGGTGTGGCCCCTGGTTCCAGAGCTGCCTTAGGGCCTCCAGGCTGTGAAGAGTAGGCCCTTTTATGTAGGGCTGGTGGCTGAGAAACCGCATGGATGTACGTTATGGGCCCATCTGTTGACTGTCTGGGCAGTCTGGTCTCGGGGGCACAGCCCCGGAGGTTTCAAAATGGCATCCGCTCCACTGCTGCTGCGGGGAGGAAGAGAAGGGGCGGGAAGGGGCGGCGGCCCAGCCTCCTGGGCTGCTTTGCGTTGGGCGCTTGCCTCTTCCTGTCTCTGCTGTGAGTGCGGCAGGCAGTGAGTGGGTGTCGACGCGGCGGAATGCCCTGTGCCTGCTGGGCCTGGGGAGGGCACTTCCGGGACCGCTACCTCCTGGTGCCCAGCCCAAGACTTTTGCCAGCCCCTCCCAGGTTGATCTCAGTTTTTGCGGTAGCTCAGGAGATGTGAGGCTGGACCCTAGGGTACTAGAGACACAGGGATTCTAACCTGTTTTGTGACTGGACCGGAAGCTTCCCTTATCTTGACAGACTTGCCCCTTGGAACCCAGCTCAGTTTTGGGGCCAGGCCAGGTGGAATCTGGTAGAACCTGGCAACCCTTCTCACTGGACTAGTAGCAGCCAGAGGTATAAGGTCTGGCTCAGCACTTTGCAGCCTGAGGAGTCCAGCCCAGTGTTCTGCCTCTCTAGCTTTTGCTCTTTCTGTGACAGGGGCTTCCTGGGTTGAGTCGAACAGGAACCTCTGGTTCTTGTTGGGGACATGGTGTGGGACTAAGACCCAGCAGGGTGTATGCTGCAAGGGACTGAGAGACCAAGCTCTGCCTGAAATTGAGGCCCAATCTGCAGGACCCTATCTGCCATGGCTGCCTGGGGAAGGGTCCTGGCTTGAACCTTGCCTTCCCCATCCAGGAATAAGGTGGCAATGGGAGCCCCACTGTGCCAGGTTCAGAGTTCTGGGCGCCTATCCCACTTAGCGGGAAATTCTGTCCAGGCAACGGGACTCAGGCTGGGCAAGTGCCAACCTTCCCTCCCAGCCAGAACCACGCCTGCTGCCCTGCCTGCACACTGGCTCCCTCCCCTCTGTGCAGCTCTGCCAGCCGTCAGGCACAGTCACTGTCACCAGGACAGAGACAGATGTGTACACACTGGCAAGAGTTTTTCCTGGTAGCTTGGTGGGGGATCAGAGTAGATGGTCCCAATCTCACTCCAGCCATACCCCCAACCTTACCCAGTTCTACATGACTGACCAGCTAGGCCCAGGTGGAATTTGGTGGACAGCCTCTGAAAGGAGAGTGCCCACTGTGGGTTCCATGAAGGATTTAGAGTATAGGTACAGTAGTTTTGTCATGCCCCTGGGACTTTACATCTGTTGTTTCCTACTTGATTATTCTTTTTTTTTTTTTAGTGGTACTGGGGTTCAAATCTAGGGCCCTGCACATGCTAAGCAGTCTACCATTAAGCTATATATCCCTGGCCCTTGATTGTTCTTCAGTACTCTACTTGAGATCTCCTCCCAGGATCTTTACTTGTCCTCCACTGAGGCTGGTGAAGCTTCTCTTCAGGCCCTGGGTACTGCTGCTTCCCTTCATCAGAGCATGATGAGGTTGCTAGCACAGAGCTATGTATTGGGTGCTTCTCACTTATTTGTTGAACGAAGTACATATCCACAGAACTTGGTTTGGGGAATGGGTAGGTGGAGGTCACTGAGCCATAGAGGCTGGGTTGACACTAAGAGAACAGTTCTTCAGCCTGTTTCTTCCTGGTCCCATCACAGTCTGTGCAGGCACCTCAGAAACAGACCCTAGCCCGTTCCATCCACAATATTTGCTGCCCAGCCTGTAGCCTGTCACAGGGCACAGCACATAGTAGGAACTCCATCTGTTTGTGGGGAGAGTAGCTTTGTATTCTTCCTTCAAATAAGAGCTATTTGGAGACTGCCTCAAGGCTACCTTCTCTGACAGTCTAAAAGCTTCTGTACAGCCTGAGGGCTACCAGGCTGAGACCTGTGCAGTGCTGCAGAGTCTCTGGGCCTGCCAGCACAGGGACTGCACAGAGGGAGACTGCACAAAGAATAAGTTTACCAAAGGAAAAGGAAGGGAATTTTGTGGCCTTAGTCCTGTCTGTGCCTCTAGCAAAGGGCTGACACTTTATAAGGTGCATATTAAGTGTTTGTGGAAACAATGAGGCTGTTGAACACATCTACAACAGGGCATAGCCCCTGGGGAGAGGGATAATATAATCCTGGGTGTGTGTGTGCAGTGCCACTTGAGCCTGGTTGCAGGTAGATGGGAGGGCTACCCTGGGATCCGACCTGGCTGGGCAGTGGGGAGACTCTAGTGGTGCTTTTGAAGGGGTCTTCCTGGAGGAGGGGTCCTCTGGCTGGCTTTGAAAAATGAGCACCATTTGCCAGGGCAGGCACTGGGGGAGACAGACCAACTCAGCAAGAACACCCAGACAGGAGACCTGGCCTGGATTCCCAAGACCTTGGGGGTCACACAGATCTGTGTTCAAATTCCAACTCCACCTTGTGCTCTGGCTAAGAAACTTTCAGATAAAGCCCTCGCAGGAGTCTTGCCTTTCACATACAATCTGGGGACCAGATCTGCAGCCAAGGGTATTGTGGGTGGCAGTGCATTAAACCCTGGAGGTATGAAAAGGGTTGAGGGACCTTAACTGCTGATTCCTGCAGTGCTGAACATATGGTGGGAAGGGGGCTTTCATTCTACAGGATGCCTGGCCAGTGTGGGGACTTAGGGGAACCCCCTCCCATGTCCTCAAGCAGCTCCACTGCAAGTGGGGAGACCAAGGTGTACTGCAAAGAGTTAGTGCCCGATAAAGTGATAGACTATCCCAGGGATGTCAGACAAAACCTCTGGGGGCCTAGGGTTGGGGATGTGGCAGAGCCCTGAGTGCCAGGTAGGCTGGTACCCAGGCAGGCCCACAGCCCAGACAATCTCCCCGCCAGCCCTCTTCTCCCCTGCTGGAGCTCATTAGCACTTGAATGGGGGGCGGGGTTGCTTGGGCCTGAGAGTCTCTTCCCACCCCTCCCCCAGGTTGGGCAAGGCTTTGTCTGCTGGAGTGGGCTGGGATGGAGCTCAGTTCGCACGGCAGGGAGAGAATGGGGGATCTAAGCCATTTCTGATTCTCTCTGCCTATGTCCTTAGTCTCACTAAGCTCAGCACCTGCCATGAGAAATTGTACCTGAAGGTTAGGATAGGAGTGTGACTAGGTCCTTCAAGGGATACCCCTGATCTGGGAGACTAGGTGAATCAGTAGCTCAGCTGGGAGTATCTCTGGAGGAGCAGGGACAGGGAACCATAACAGGCCAGCAGGTGGTAAGGACACTGGGAATGAGCTTTCAGTGTTCTGGAGGTGGAAGTCAAACCAGCCTAGGGACACAGCCTTCCATGCCAGAAGCCCTGAGGCAGCATCACGCCACCCACTGTGTTTGAGTAAGAGCCTAGGCTGCCAGTTGGTGGCTGGATATGGTTAGTGACCCCTTTGGTCTCCTTTGTTTTGAGTAAATATTTGCCCACCAAGCAACAGCATTTAGGTAGTACTGGGGGTGGGGTGTGAGCCCATCCCAGTGAAGTCCTCATGCTTCCAGCA